CAATCTTGTCATTCAAGACAGCGGCCAAGAGCGACTTGACAATCTGGAGCTGGACCTCGACGCCGGTGGTCTCTCCCTGGAAACAATCGCAAATGGTATCGATGGCTCGCTCGATGAGGGGTGCTCTGTCGGCGGGAGCATCTTGCTGGCCGTCTGCTGTGGTCGGCAAGCTGAAGTAGGAATATGATATGAGCTTTCCGATGCAATCGAGGGCACCGGTGACTAGTTGGACATTTCCGGTGCGCGTTGCCAGCTGTAATGGGGCGAAGACTATTTCGGGGTCCGGGAAATTCGGATCGCTCTCCTTGATGGCAGTGAGGGTCTTTTGGAGGGATTCGGTGAGCTGCTTGTTCCTCTGAGCCTCTTTGGAAGCGGCAATGGCCTCCAGAGAGGAGACGAGGAATTTGAGGGAGCTCATGGGGGAGCACTGGAGACACCAAGTGCCATTCGCGAGTCGAGGGACGGTTCGTGATCAGGAGAGGTTTTGGTTTCGAGAGACAGTCGAGACGCGGATCTAGAAGTGTTGCAGTAGCAAAGGCAATGGCAAGGTATGTAGGTAAGCTGGGCCGGGCATCGAGGGGCGCATGCGCATATGCAGGGCGACGTGGAGAGGACGGCAACGCAAGGGGTGGGCCCCAGGTTGATGTGTATTAGTTTGGTGGTGTATCCGGCGTCTTCGGAGACGGCAGCATCGATGCTCGGGGGTTCTGGCAGAAGATGGTACTAGTGTGGTCGGTAGTAGGTATTGCTGACCGTGGTGGTGATGGCGTTGATGGGAGATGGGTTCCGAGGTTGGTGGTGATGGAGTCGTCGCCCCAGCTTCTCGAGAAATGCAATACAAAGCAACACCGCTATGCTGTACTGTATCCGTAGTCTGTCAGTCCTCGCGAATTGGACAGCACAGGTAATAGTAACAGGCCGCAGGATGGAGATGGCAATGACGGTCCAAATTTCTTTGAATGGAGGGACCCCTGGCTCTGTCCCACGCTTAGCTTGCGGAATGGGACCTGGCACTTGGAGCTACCTGATTTCATGTGCTCGTCTTGACGGTTTGCACTGTGAGCTCTTGGTGTAGAGCTGATCCCAAGGTGAGGAAACTCTGGGCGTCGTTCAAACACTGTGTAATGTGTGAATGGCGGCACTGTAATCCGAGGTGGCCCTGGTCGATTTAATGTAGCTGCTGCATGGAGCGTTCTTTTTTTGCTTAGGAGGACTCCAGCAGCACAGCAAGACGACGGGACCATCTGGTTTACGTGGCGGACTTGAGCCAGGCGTGCGCCAGGGAGCGGCCACTTCTTCATTGTTTAATTGCCTTATGTCAGCAATTGGAGATGGGAGCACAGACATCTCAGACCAGGCAGAAGTGGAGATCTGAAGCTGAGGTAAGCAAAGTGCATCCGTGTTCTTTCGGACTTCTCTTTTTTTTTTTTTTGGTCTGCTGCATGGAAGGAAGGCCAACGGAAGGTGTTCTCGTCGCGTATCTTATCCAAGCCTTATCTGCTGTGTTATCTATCGTGTCACGTGTAGCTGCGCTTACCTGCGGCCAGTGACCCAATGAATGTAGCATAATCACCGTGGACCCGCACTGCTCTCAACATTGTCTGTTCTCATTGGACACACGGCCTCTCTTGCAGCATGGAAGTACTACGTACCTTGAGGCGAGATCCCTTGTTTTCCCGGGCTATTTCCACTCCTCCATCTCAAGTCCGAAAAGTTCCTCAGGCAGTCTCGGTCTTAATCAAGGCCGCCCGGCGAGCAGAGCGATCGCGGACCCTGTTGGCCCTGGCCCATTGGCGTTAAGCACCGGCCACAATTATCGGCGAAACTTACAGAGCGCTACCTATTGTCCACTGGACCACTGTTGTCCAGGCCTCGCCCAGTGCCCTTCAGTGAGCCAACGTGCGCCAAACGGCCGTCCCTCCCTGCGGCCTATTTTGTAGGGACGCGCTAACACCCGATTTGGCCTAGCGCCCCAAGCTCCATCCAGCGACGGAGCTCAACGCAAAAAACTCCAGCCCCAAGGAAAGATTCCCGTCCGACAATCTCGAGCATCAACCTCGCCGTCCCAGAATAATCCCGCGTCGTCTTTCTTCCTCTCCCTCCTCCCCCCCCTTCTCTTCGTCTCGCGCAATCCCGTCATTCAATTGCCCGTAGGCTTCAATTGTTCGACGTCGACGGTCCTTTCTTCCTCTGCAAAAGGATCATCCTCTTGAATCGTCGCCTCCCCCGAGCCCGGTCCGCCGTCCAACCATCGCCAAATTTCTCCCTGCTTTCGCGCCGCCCGCGAGAGCTATTTATTCACCATGATCTCTTCAGTCCTGAGACGGACTGTTCGTCAGAACACCCTCCTCCGCACCAACCTCTCTTCCCAGATCCTGAGATGTTACGCCTCTTACCCCCCGCACACCATCATCAAGATGCCCGCTCTGTCGCCCACCATGACGGCGGGAAATATCGGATCTTGGCAGAAGAAGGCCGGTGACAGCATCGCCCCCGGTGATGTCCTGGTCGAGATCGAGACCGACAAGGCCCAGATGGACTTTGAGTTCCAGGAGGAGGGTGTTATCGCCAAGCTCCTGAAGGAGTCCGGCGAGAAGGACATCCCCGTCGGTAACGTACGTCCACCCCGATACCCAAATCCCCAATTCCCCTCGTCGAGTCCGGCCGGGCGCATTTCGCCATTATGCCCATCATCATTATCAGCACCATCATGATGTACGCGCAAACTGACACTCCCCTCACAGCCCATTGCCGTCCTCGTCGAGGAGGGCACCGATGTCAGCGCCTTCGAGGGTTTCTCCGCCGCCGACGCCGGTGGTGAGTCCAAGCCCGCCCCCAAGGAGGAGCCCAAGAAGGAGTCCGAGTCCAAGCCTGCCCCTACCCCCGAGCCCGAGAACTCTTCCGACGACTTCAACAAGCCCGCCGGCAAGCTCGAGAACGCTCTCGAGCGTGAGCCCAACGCCTCTTTCACCGCCGTCCGCCTCGCCAAGGAGAAGGGCATCAACATCCGCGACGTCAAGGGATCCGGCAAGGGCGGTAAGATCACCGAGGAGGATGTCAAGAAGGCTGTCTCTTCCCCGGTTGTCGCTGCTCCCGGCGCTTCCTACGAGGACGTCCCCATCAGCGGCATGCGCAAGACCATTGCCTCCCGTCTCGTCGAGTCCACCCAGACCAACCCCCACTTCTTCGTCTCCTCCAGCATCTCCGTCAGCAAGCTCCTCAAGCTTCGCCAGGCCCTCAACGCCTCCTCTGACGGCAAGTACAAGCTGTCTGTCAACGACTTCCTCATCAAGGCCATCGGTGTCGCCTCCAAGAAGGTTCCCCAGGCCAACTCCAGCTGGCTCGGCGATGTCATCCGCCAGCACAACACTGTCGACGTTTCCGTCGCCGTTTCCACCCCCACTGGCCTAATCACTCCCATCGTCACCGGTGTCGAGGCCCGCGGTCTCGAGGGTATCTCCTCCGAGGTCAAGAAGCTCGCCAAGCTCGCCCGCGACGGCAAGCTCAAGCCTGAGCAGTACCAGGGCGGCTCCATCTCCATCTCCAACATGGGCATGAACGACGCCGTCGACAGCTTCACTGCCATCATCAACCCCCCTCAGTCCACCATCCTCGCCATCGGCACCACCAAGAAGGTCGCTGTCCCCGCTCTGTCCGAGGACGGCACCACCGGCGTCGAGTTTGATGATCAGATCACCATCACCGGCAGCTTCGACCACAAGGTCGTTGACGGTGCCGTTGGTGCCGAGTTCCTCAAGGAGCTCAAGAAGGTCCTCGAGAACCCCCTCGAGCTCCTTTTGTAAGCAAAATCTGCTGTCGTTGTTGTTGTTGACGTTGCGTTGCGCGTGCGGAGGCAAAAAAGAGGCATGACGTGAAAGTTTCGAAGAGGCGTATCCGGCGTGGGAGAATTATAGACAATCCAGGCCGATGGATATGACCTGTGGCTTTTTTGCCAAGAGGGAGGAAGCGGAGGGCAGTGAAAGATGGGCCGAAAGCATACACCATCTGCTCGGCGGCGAACGAGGAACGAACCCCCCCTACCACAACCTACTTCCCGTGTACAATGATCTCCTGAACTAATGCTGCATCTCGGGTGCGGAAGAGGTTTCTGTCTTGTACATTTGGTCTCCTATTCCCATTTTACCTAGAAATCCAAGCAGTTACCGTTGAAAGCCGAAACCGTCCCCGGCATCTTCCGCCTTTTGTTGTGATCTGTATGTGTTTGTTAAAACCAACCAAATAGCCAGGAACGCGGCTTTTGGCGCGCTAACTCGAACTGGTTCAAGATCGGATGAACGCATCAACACCTGGTCGTAAAAGGCCCCCCGGTGTGTCGGGTAACAGCCAAGAACGCGTATTAGACTCAAAGATACTAAACAGCATGTATTGAGACGAGGTTTTGCTCCTCGAGTGCTTGCAAAAAATGTGTGGTTTCTGTACCGGTCACTGCGGCGGCATGGTCTCGAACATTGATGAGGGCCTTCGCAGCTTGGAGAAGCTCGCTTAGTCATTGCGTGGGGAAGGAAAGGGAAGAAAGATGATGAAGCCCGACCTTGAGATAAGACTGATAGCCTTCTCGAAAAGTCGCGATAACTTGTTTTTCTCCTGTTGTTCACGTACTAAGATGCTTGTTCAGATGTTTGGGTCAACTCTTCACTTAAATGAATCAAAACTTCTCTAACCTTTCGGTTGGATGTGATTTTTCAATTATCCAGCAAGCTCCCGGTCCTAATGCTTCAAAAATGCCCCTACCTGTTTTAGAAAATACGACGATGGAATTTTTGTACATTATCTTATCAAAGACCTTACTTCTCTTGGAGGTTTAGGTATGGAGATAGGAACTTCGTTGAGTTTTACAGAGCATCATCATTATCAGCATCAGCGAGTGAGCCTTTACTTAACCTCCACCTATGTGGCCAGACTTTCAAGCCGGCATTGAAGCGATGTCCCGTGGAGTGCCAAAAAATGAGGAAATGATGTCTCATTTTCTTGAACGCTGGCCTGAACAGAACGAGTGGATTTGATATAGGTTCTAAAGATGGTACGGCTTGATATGAGAAACAAAACCCAAGTGTTTATTCGGTACTTCCACTTCATGATTGTCACATGTCCACGTATTTATTCCGTCCTCCACCAGATAGGAAATGAAAGACAGAAGGTAGTATCAACCAGAAAACCAAAAGGAAATCGCGCAACTTACCAGCTTAAGAGAATAACCCGTAGCTTTCCCGAATTACAATCTTTTTCTTGTCCGTAGCAAAGAAAAACGTCATTGGTTCTCATGCCCAGAGCAAGCCGCCAAGGACGACATGACTAGAGCCTCGTCTTTTCGTCTTTCGAGCTTCCCCTACATACATCTCGGCAGGAAGGCTGAGAGGAAAGCGCGCTTATCGATTCTATGACCAACCTCGTTGCTTGTCCCTCTCACTTCCGACGTCGAGTTGACCCCCTCAGACTCAGCTGTGCGGTAGTCTGGACTGGCAAGTGCAGCCACAACCCCACCGTCCTTGAGTACGAGTTGAACCAGAGTGACAATTGCTTGCAAATTCGCCGGATACAAGGCCCCTCGCGAGAAGTTGCCTGGCGTTCTCAAAGGCTTCGGGGCTTTGTTCTTGATTTCAGCTGGCAGTTTGTCGCAGAGATCGTTGTACAGGTTGCAGGGCATTTCCTCCTCCTTCGCCCGTTTGTTCGGAGATAGCATCATCCGCCTCTTCATCTCCTTTTGAACAGCACCCATGACATCGAGCAAGATGCTGGAGTCCCGTGTCGCGCCCTCTCCCCGCCTGTGAATTTCTGCCGCAAGAATCAAGGTATTCTTAGCCGTTGCGAGCTGTTCTAGCTGCTCCTTTGGTGCACCGCGTGCTTCTGCAACGCTAATTAACCTCTCGACGTATTTGATGAGGCCTAACCCCCTGTTGAACATTGCTCTCTTCGTGAGCTGCTCACTCAAATCGGCTAATTCGATGAGATCATCCCGCAACTCTGTTTGGAGTTTAAGGTAGATTTCTATGGCCTTGAGAAGGGCTCCCTCAAGGGAATTGTTGTTTGAGTTCCAGCGTTTGATGAGTTCCTCCGGCATAAGCCACTGACTGCGCTCCTCAATGACAATCATGTATCGACTGTTTTTGTGTTTTCTCCAGCTGCAATGTTGCTTGCAAACAGTACAATTGCCATAGTTCATGGCAGCACAGAAGTACTTCGATCCGTCATCGCGTAGGCGGCATACTTCGTGGCAGGTGAAGTTGCACTCAAGGCACAAAGTGGTGGCTAGGCCTGCGGGAAGGTCTTTCTGCACCGCCACGTCATGTGTGATCTTGACTTTCTGGCCGGGAGCAGCACCAACGGCTTTAGCGAGTGCTCCCATATTTGCAATCAAGTTCTGGGCCTCAGTTGCCGTGCGAAGGATTTTCTTTTCTGCAAGTTGACACTTTTGCTCCAGTAGGATTCGATCTTTCGTCACCTGGGCGCTGTTGATCGTAGGAATTGGCGTCATGGAATGGAGCATTTGCATGACCTGGAATTGTCCTCTGACGCACTGGATCCAGCCGTCACGGAAGGCATCACTCTGGACGCCTGTTGGATTGATGCTGAATGCACTGTTATTGACGGAAATCTCTCCATTCTCGATGGGCCATTCCAGCTTTCTCAAGGTCGCGCGAGCGAGGGGCTCACCGGCGTCACTAAAGGTGTAGATGGTTCTGAGACACGATTTGACGTCTTTAGCGAAGAGAGAAAACACATACGTCGCCACGGGCTCGAGGATTGTGGTGCGTGTCTCGTTGGCGCGGCAAGTGAAGATGATGGCGTTGACATGTGTGACCGTTTTGAAGAATTCTGACATGGCGGCGGTCACAAATGCGTCGCGCGCCACCCCTCTGGTGTCACCGTAGCCAGGAGTATCGACAACGAGAATCGTTCTGCCATAGAATAGAGGATTGAGTGGTCGAATCCTGTAACAGTTGACAATCTGTGTCACCGATTCGGCCTGATTGGCACCACGATCATCGACAACCAGTACGCGTGCCTCATCGTCTATCACACCACCGAAGAGAAACGAGATAAATGCATTGATCTGGGTGCTCTTTCCGTGACCGCTAGTACCAGCAAAAACGACCACCAAAGTGTTATCCATATCAGTGATATCGGATGCTTGTATCTCGGGCTTGAATTGAGGCGCGACATCCATGATGCGGACAACAACTTCGCCTCCAAATCTCCGGTCTGAGGTCGTCCGCGAAGCCACTTCCTCGAGCCCCAGGAATAGAGTTGCTTTGCGACCAGACTGGTCAAGACCCCATGGTGTCAACATAGAGCCGGGTGTTCCCTGAGATAGTGAAGCCCTATTCTTGGCGAAGAACGCAACCATCTCCGAAGCCACGGACGGCAACTTGGCTGTGCGGCCTACAGCAGGTATGCTCCATTCCGAAGGACCGATGAGTGTCTCGACGCTGATGGCTATACTATGGTCGCAGTCATCCGGCAAATCCTCAAGTAGTACTGTACTTGTGGAAGCGGAGAACTTCGCTTCCGTCACTTTCTCGTTCTCGCCTGCCCGGGGGAAAGCTCCGTCTTTCTGAGTATTCTTCTGACGGCGGTATTGCAAGATGAAGCCCGTGATTGGGAAGGCCGATCTTTCTCGCTCTTCTCGCTCTTCTGGCTCTCGATCCCAAGAGACGGTGATGCTCTGACCGAGCACTGTGAGTTGAGGGCTGGCAGGTGCCTTGGGGAGCAGACCTGTGACGATGAGATGCTTGGTGGGGCTGTTCGGGCTGTCCAAGAGAATGTCTCCCATGCTGGTCTTCACCCTTTTCCCTTCCTCGGTTCCGGGACGGTAAGCTCTCTGTATGAAAGCGATCCCGAACTCGACGGCACCTCCTGATAGCAGCCGTTGTTGACGAAGAGTCGCGCAAGACTGCCTGACGTTGGAGACAATTTGTTCGTTTTCGAACCATTCTTCTTCTACGTCATCGTCAGAGTCGTCGTCCGATGTGCCGACGCGGTCTCCTGTATCACCAGGTGCCTTCAAAAGGGCCTCTTGTAGTGGGTGGGTCTTGGCCCCGACGAAACGATCGCTCAAGGACAAAAATAGCCTCGGTCTCTGTACGTCGACCATCGACTGGTGTTGCAGTCCGCCGGCGGCGCCGAGGTGGTTGACAAATTTGTCCTCAACAAGCGCCGCGACAGTCCCATTCAGAACAAAAGCTTCATTCTCCTTTCGCTTGATAAATTTCTCAGCTATGGCGATGCGCTGCTCAAAGAGAGTGACGGTTGTTTGAAGCTCAGAGATCTTCTCATTCTTATCAGTCCTAACATCCCGCAACTCAGGCAGCAATTGACGTGCATCGTTCGTGAAGCTGGTTTGAGCATCGGCGAATATGGCTTGAAAATTGGATATCTGGCGTCCAATGGCAAGGAAGTGTTTTCGGAATACCTCGAGCTGAGCGAGGTCTTGCAGCTTAAGGGTGATTGTCAATCCAGCATGGAGCGTCTTTGCTGTCTTGTTGACCAATTGAGAGTCAAGAGCCCGTATGAGGCACTTCACCTTGCTGTTGATAGTAGAGAGTGGTAAGAGCTTGTAAGAGAGAGTGTTCATCTGTTGCGCTAGCTTCTCGGGCATTTCTGCTGTAACGCGTCGGGCATCGTCAAGGTTAGATACACTTTCGGCGATGGCGCCACTGTATGAGATCCTGACGTTTTCGAACTTCTCGTCCATCTGTTTTGAGAAGTCCACCGTGGCAGACCCATTGACGGGAATATTCGCAACGCCAGCTCTGAGCTCGCTCGTGACCTTCCTGGCCTCGTCGGCAGTGGAGCAGGACTGAACATAGCTGAGGGTAGCGCTGCCGCCTTCAACCACCTCGGAGACGAAGTGTGTGAAACGGTCACTGTCGAGGTATTGTTCGTACTTCATAGCGGCCAAGGTCTCCTGGGGAATGCGACGCGTGCGACGCACCACAGAGCACGATACATCAATGCGTGCCTCATGGGTGCTTGATTTCTTGTCACCAAGGTACCTGGCTGCGCCCGTTGCGGTGACCAGCTGAAGATCGAGGCCCAGCGAGCCCTCAAGCCCCAACGAGCTATTCTTGCGTGACTCCTCAAGTGATTCCGAGAAGTGGAACTCAGCCCCCTGGAGTTGCTTGGTGTCGATCTCCGCAGTGGGATTGACGGTACTGTTATCCCAGAGAGAAATACCACTGAAGAACTGTGACGTCCGCGCATCGTACATCATACCGAGCTGGACATCTTGATCAAGAGCAGGTTGAGAGATGGGCTGAGAAAGAACCAGGTCGTTTGAAGTGTGACCCATCTTGCCTGAACGCTGACAATGTGCAGTTGAAAAGATGATCACAAAAGTCAGAGGGAGACAAAGAAGAAGTGGAAAATGCCAGAATTTCTTGGAGCAGGCTGCGAGATTTCAACCTCTGATAAAGGCCAAAAGTGCATCTTGGCGAATTAGTCAAATAAGAAGTAAATGTATCTTTCCTCTCTGGTGGTTATTAGCAGGGGCTCGAGTTGGAGAATAAGACTTACATGTACATCAACACTATCAAACTGACGTTCCACGAGTTGGCTTTGAGGAGGCCACCGACATGTACGGTAGACCTATGGCGTTGCGCCTGCATCAATCCGAGACCTTATGATTAGCCAATTTTCTGCTTCTGTCTGCTCATTGCTGCAGGCTCAGCGCCATTCCCCAGGTGGCGACCGTAGGTGAGATTCACAGAATCACACGCAAGGAAGTCGCATTTGGTTCAAAAGTTTCTGTGGAAACATTGTTGAAGACTAGGCTATCTTCAAAAAATTTCCTGAAGCTTCGAATGGTCAAAGTCTGATTGTCGTTGTAGCTAGGGGCTGGGATTCGGCAGTTCAGCAGCCTAGGCTTGGTAGCTCAAGTAAAGATGAACGAGCAAACTTTCGCGATATCTCACTTTATATCCGCAAGGCTCTGGCTGGCAGCGCAATGGACATGCAGGTGTGACGTGTCACGTAATGACGTTCGAGTGGGTGGCGCTTTCAAGTAGCATAATTACTGCATGACATCTTGCCAGAACTTCACATCTCTCGGAACCTCGTTGAAGCATTGGTTGGAGCAACCCCATATTTGCCGAGCTTCCACATCAGTCGGCATTTCCGTTCGCAGTTCGGTGATCTGCCAGCCCGAGGATTGAACCAATCAAAATGCTAGGAGTCTCGGTGTATGGCGGGCGGAGCAGTCCAAAAGCGCAGGAATCCCGACGACATGTCGGGGATAAGCTCCGTCTTACTCCCTTCGCCATCAAATTTATCGTCCTCCTTCCTCTTCACAACTCACAATTATCTGATCGTCTGATAAGATCTCTTACAAACTTGCCAGTAGTACCATGAACCCGTCGAATCCCGGCTCAGGCAACAGCTTCCGATAAACTGGGCCTAATCTACTTGGTGAGATTCGGACTCAGTTCAAAAAGCCGAGCATCCCACCAAGCTCGCCCAGCCCGCGTCCCACGTTCGCATCCTCCCCCCATTTCCCAATTCTCCAACCAGAAACTTGTAGTACTCCCCAAATGGATTCTTTGAGAAGCCCAGATCAGTTCTCGGCGCCGAAGAAGCGGCGTAGGCCTGCTCTGGCCTGCGAACAATGCCGCCGTCGGAAAGTCCGCTGCGATAGGAACCTCCCCTGCAGCACCTGCGTCCGCTCGAAGCACTCACTCTGCACCTACACCTCACAAACAAAGCCGAAATCCAGGGAGAGTCCCAAACATGGGGCTGAAGGTAATGACGGTTCTCTCCACACTGCCCTTCGCCTGCCGGACCCTATCCTCCCGGTGTCATCATCCCTGCGGGCGAGACAACCGGTCACTTCCTCTTCCTCCGTCAGTGTAAACACACCCATAACTACCCGGACACGACAAGAGAATTTCAAAGACCCCGTTCATGGTTCCACCAAAGCCGGCGAGTCAGGTCTCGGGTTTCCTGAGCCTATCATCCCGACTTCTCGGCCCTTGTCAGAAGCATCTCCCTCTACTCACGATCCGAGGACGCTAGATGGGCACCCCCTCTTCGACTCAACTAGTCCCGGTGAACATACCGGCCCAGCGGACTTTGGGACCTGGCGGCCAGTGAACCCTACACGTACTTCGGCCGCCGTCAGTGTGAGAGCGGAGACTGTCTCGACGCCCGGAAGCTGCCCCGGTTCCTCGTCGACGGTGAATTCTCTGGTTGACAGGGTGAAGCAGCTCGAGCAGCAGCTATCGGATCTTACTGTGAAGTACGGGGCTCGTGAAGATGATGTAACTCAACCTACACCTGGCCTCCGGGAAGGGTTGAGATATAGCCGGGGCTGTGTCAGCAAGACTCGCTATTTTGGCCAGAGTCATTGGATGAACGCGGCTGATATGGTTAGTCATAGTCTTCTCGTTCTAATCTATCATTATTCAACGGTTTCAATTCCCTCTCCTTTCCCTAGAGGCCACCGGCATCCGGCTCTTTTGTCCTTTCTTTTCTGTCCTGCTATCATCTAGCTGTGGTGCCTGCCTTTAGTCCAGATTGCGGAACCATACGCTCCCATTGTCACATTTAATCAAAATACTAGATAGTGGGACACTGACACTTCCTCCAGTTGTACCGACTAGTCAACTTTGCAAGAAAGTTTGAGAACCGTCGTTCATCTCAACTCTACGTCGACCTAGAAAAATGCAAGAAGCTAGGCCGCATAATCAAAGCCCGCCGGACTCCCTCTTTCAGCACAATTTCAACTGGCAAGAGTATGCCTCCTCGAGAACTGGCAGATGTTCTAATCGGAAACTACCTCCGAACGTTTGAGTCCATCCACCGCATCATCCACATCCCGACCTTTAAAGCGGACTACGAAAAGTACTGGCTGAACCCATCCGAGGCAAGCGACTCCTTCATCATCACCATGCAGCTTTGCATGGGCATCGGCGCCACCATGCATGACGAGCGCTTCACTCTAAGAAACCTAGCCATCCAGTGGTTCTGGGAGGCCATGTTTTGGCTTATTACGCCTTGTGAAAAGTCCAAGATGACTATCCCCGGGCTGCAGATCCGGTGCTTGATGCACTACCTCCGACATACAGCCAACATCGGCTGCGATCTCACCTGGATCGGTGCTGGTGCCCTCATCAGAACGGCCATGTACATGGGACTGCATCGCGACCCCAAGTCAATCATCAAGATGTCTCCATACCGCGCTGAGATGCGCCGGAGGCTATGGGTCACGATCTTGGAGATCACCTTGCAGACGAGCATCGATTCTGGCGGCCCGCCTCTCATTTCACTAGACGACTTTGACACGGAATTACCGGCAAACCTAGATGACGAGCAACTCGTCGAAGACGGCGAGTCCGCCTTTCCCGTGCCCAGGGATCCGGGTACACACACACAGATGACAGTTTCCCTGGTTGTATTTGGAACATTCGCAGCTCGTCTTGCTGTAGCAAAGCGCGTAAATGAGTTCCGTTCCGATACAGTCTACGAAGAGACCCTTCGACATAGCAACGAACTCAGCAAATCGCTTCAGAGGATGATGCAGCAGCTCAAGGCACATCCGGCCGTCACTTCCTTCCAGCTGCGCTACGTCCAGTTCCTGACATACCGGCTCTTCTTCGCCCTCCACCACCAGATCGCCCCACTGGCGCTGCGGAATCCTGTGTACTACTTCTCTCGTAAGATGGTCGTTGACACAGCGTTGCGGCTATGCGAGGTCGCATTCTTGGCACCTGATAAATCGGGCACTGGCGCCACAGTGAAGCCTGCGGGCCCGTCTGAAGTGGACTTTCACCGGTTGACGATCAATGGTGCCGGTTTCTACCGGTCCGTTCCCTTCCAGAGCGTCATGACGCTTGGGCTGGAGCTTATCAACATCAAAGAGGAGGAAGTGAGGAACGGCCACTCTATGATCTACAGCGGCTCTGAAGATCAGCTGCGCGGCATCCTTGAAGCTGTCTATCAGTGGTCGAGAGATCGGATCCAATCTGGGGAGACGAACATCAAGGGCCACGCGCTAAGTGTGCTGCTCATTGCTCATATTCACGGCTTGGAGAAGGGTGTGAGCGACGACAAGATTGAGGAATTTTTTGAAGAGGCGTGTAAAGAGCGGGTTAAGGAGTGCCACGAGTTGCTTACGGAGTTGGCAGGGGGCGACGTTATTGAGGAAGGAGTGAATATGCCCGATGTCCACGATTTGGACATGGACTTTGATGCCGGGATTGACATGCTTGGGGATTGGGACTGGGCAACATCCGTGGTAAGTCTTCTTCCCCGCTAGCCCTAAACTGTTTTGAAGTCGCGCTCTAACGTGTTTTCAGGACAATAATGGGTTCGGATTCAGCAACATTATGAACTTCAACGCTATGCCTGAGATGTTCTCATGAAGTAGCACTCTGTCTGTTAGTAATGCTGCCTGTGGAACCACGACACGCTCATCTATATTTGTGTTTGCGCGAAAATCATTGTACAATTTAATGTAACATTGCGTCTTTCTGCACTAAACCGAGTGGCGGAAATAAATTCTCTCAGCTCAATCATAGACCACGTGCTTGATCAGACTACGCACCAGCGACGAAATCTATTTGCGGGAAATCGCCCCTTTTTGTTGACAAACAGGACAGGTTTAAAGAGCGATATGAGAACCAAATACACGAAAGATTAATAGATAGAGGGATCCATCACATTGGCGAGAAGCTGGTAGACCATTGAAACTGACCAAGTGTGATGATGAGTTTTCCTTATTGAATGATTGAACATAGGACTGAGAAGGAAAAAGAAAGAAGCCCACATGCAAGCAGGCGGAAGAACAACGAAGTCCCCTACGAAAGATGAAAAACCCGCTGGCTTAGCATGGCTATGAGTGAGATTTTCGCTGCGGAGATTCTGTAATTTCGGCGTTTGGCGGGAATAACAGCGGAATCCTGCTGCATTGTACTCTAATGCTCTGAAGTGCCTTGCCTACTTTAGCTGCAGTTCAGTGTGATTGCGACAGCATGTAGCAACCTGGGGCCTTAGCGGCGCAGTGGCTGCTTGCTGATGGCTCTCCTCTTTAGGTAGGTACTAAGGGAAACTTGGATGTAAGTTTTGAGACGTAACCGGCCAGCATCAGGATCGGATGAATGCCTCACACCGGTCGAGGAATTTGTAGATATGACTTAATGGAGTTAACAACTGTGCGGTGCAACAATATCCCGTCAGACAAACAGAAGTCCCTTCATAGACCCGTAAGCTTCGGACTTGGTCCTTTTGAGGTCTTACTGCCTTGGTGCAGATTCCAGAAGCAGCCGCGCACGTAATTCAGGCGCCGTGAGATGGCGATAGCGCTAACTCCGGGACGTCTTCCGCCGGCAGATGACTCTGTAATTCGTCTGCTCTGGCGCCAGGGTGGATTCAATGTCCGCAGGACGCGGCCGCACCGCCCGCTCCGTCTTAGACGGCTGAGATTGAAAAGACGGCCAAATCGCTGCTGACCTGACTGAGATGTAGATGATTACTCTCTCATCTTATTCACTTTTTGTATCCAGGGCACTGTAGCAGAAGTTAACATTTCCGCACTGACGTTGTTGTCATCTCTAGAAACACGACTCAACCGACACCACTAACACGATGCATCTCATCCTCACTGGAGCCACTGGCCTTGTAGGCTCAGGCGTTCTCGATGCCATGATCAAGATGAAGGACATCACAAAGATCTCAGTCCTCAGCAGAAGCCCGATCCCCATGGCCGAAGCCGCCAAAGATCCTCGGATCAATGTCATCATCCACAAGGACTTTGAAAAGTACGACGCAGACGTACTCGACAAGCTCAAGGGCGCAAACGGCGCTGTGTGGGCACTGGGCATCAGCCAGAACAAGGTCAGCAAAGAGTAAGCACAACCCCTCCAACCACCCCAACAAATATGAGAAGCGCTTACACGGCCACAGGGATTATGTCAAAATCACAAAGGACTACACTTTGGAAGCAGCAAAGGCTTTCGCCAACCTACCGCCGGACAACGAACCCTTCCGCTTCATCTACGTCTCAGGCGAGGGCGCAACGCAGACGCCGGGCCGCTTCAGCGCCATCTTCGCCCGAGTCAAGGGCGAGACCGAGACCCTCCTCTCCGAGATGCGCGCCGCGAACCCGCGTCTGCGCGCCGAATCTGTCCGCCCTGCCTTCGTAGACAAGGCCGGCCACAAGGCCGTCGAGACCTATGCGCCCAACGCCGGCGCGCTGTACAACGCCATGAATATGTTCCTCGGCCCCGTGGTTCGAACAACTATGCCGTCTTTTGTCAGCCCGACAGAGATTTTGGGCAAATTCATGAGTGAAATGGCGATGGGCAAGATGGACGACGGACTTGCTGCTGGCGGGAAGGGGATTATTACGCTTAACGGCGGATTGAGGGTCGTGGAGAATGTTGGCTTCAGGAGGTTGGCTGGTTTGCAGTGAAGATACCCCATGAGACATGAATCCCAGCGCGGACGTGTAAAGTAGCTTTTTTTTTTTTTTTTTTGTAGTATTGCGTTTCATTGGCAGTCAAATCATGGTTCACCATACCGGATGTTAAAATGTTCAGGGTTTACACTGGTTTGCGCTCGCATCTTTAGACATCGACAATCAGCTTGTTGCATTGCAAAGCTCTGAACCTATATAAAGCACAATCTGGGGCCAAGTCGCCAGCCGAAACCACTCATTGGATCCCGCAGGGATCCCCTGGCTCAATGGTCTAGTGGTATGATTCGCCCTTCGGGTTTACCAATCCTTGCGCACAGCGTGAAATTGGGCGAGGTCTCGGGTTCGAATCCCGATTGAGCCCTTCCGTCTTGCCAATTCTTGATATTTTGTGTCAAGGTTCGTTTGTTTTTGGCTGATGGTTATTTATGCATGTTCGTGAGCGATAGCAGCGTTGCTTTGACGTGGCTGTGGCCGGATAATCTCTTTCGAGGCCGAGAAAGAGCGGACTAACACGAAGGCATGGAACTCATGTTGAGAATGTATTTCGTTGATACGGCACGGCAACCTTCGCAAAAGAACATCACTCGATAGTAAGATAAACGGCAATGGATGATCAGGCAATATGAAGTGAATGCGAGCTACTTTATGTGTCGTTGTCGCCATGCAAGCTATCTGGAGCTGAACTCTCACTTCGGCATATTGCCAACACCCCCAGTGCCCCTTCCCATATCCAACGAATGCTAGAGGGGAAGACGCCCGAACGCCGCAATACGAAATCCTCAAGACCTCTAGTCTGGATCTCTCCTGGTCGTTGTAACCTTTCTGCCGTTTCTCATGATATCATCCCAGCAAGCCTTTCTCCTTATGCCTATCCCCGGACCCCGTCTTGTTGTCCTTGACGTAGGAGCTCCCACGTACATGTTGACTCGGAGTATCAAAGCGATGTCCATCATCCGAACCAATCTAAGACATATGGTTGGCAGCTTGAAGGCGTGTGTTGCTAGCGAATACGCTCTCTCTAGCTGCATCGCTTGGTCGGCCCGTGTAGTAGTAAGCCGTAAGGAGATGTAGTATGCATTACACCATGTAAGCAATATAGCTGCTGTCTGGTGCAACCCGTGACGATCCTGCTGAATCGTCCTCGTCGCCTTCTTCGTCCTCATATGGCGCGGGAATATGGAAGACGGTACCGTAGGCGGGAGGCGGGGTGTTGCCTTCGAAAGCAAGAAGCGGTCTCGCAGTAGGGTCCTCGCGCTCATATCGAGGGAGCGGCTCTGACTGGTCCCTAAAGCTGCGCAGGTTGGGCACCGTTCGTAGGTTGTCTCCGTAGTAGTATTGTGGTGGATTGTACCGGGCGTCAAGGTAGGCCACGAGCATATTAGTTCCGAGCGCTATGCTTCCGAAGAAGACGAAGCTGAGAAATATCAAGAAGAGTGCTTGAGGGAGAGACATATCCCAGGGGTCGCCGTGCATATCTTCCATGGCCTTGAGTTTGGAGTCGGAGATGCTGACGTCGTGGATGGCGAAGAAGTAGTCAACACGTCCCTCCGGAATGTACATATTGACGTTTGGTGTAATTGATGATTCTGTTCTGATGTGTATTTCGGTTGCGATGAGGCCTGATGACAGGATTTAGTGTGTATGGCGAGAAAGCGTGGTGTTGTTTTTCTCAAGTGGGTTAGAACAGAATCGTGGGTGCATCCCCTAGGAGAATGCATACAGCCAGGCAAAAGCTAGTCTTTAGGTGGGAGCGTGAGAGGTATTTATTCTACAATTCCTGGCCTTTCTCCGGAAGGAGACATTTAAGCTTCACGATTACCGTTGTTGCCAAACTAAGGTGGCTCCTGGACATCCTCAGGACCCGTCTCTCTCTCACTCAAGGAAGCACCTTGATACCACAATGTAGGACAAGCTTCCCTCCCGCCCACGGCTCGTCTATCTACGAACACCTGGAACACCAGAGCGTTGTGGTCAGGTGAAAATGCAGCATCACTCAATAACCAATGAGAACGGCCGGGGCAGGGGACAAGGATCGAATGCTTCAACTGTGCAGAATGCGAAGGTGAATTAATTCGTCTCACCATTATTTTCTTAGCAAGCCATTTCATACTTACTCACTTAGCTAAGGTACATGTACGCAAGATATCCCCCGATCAAGTGACATCACTCTCATTCGGCAGATCATCTGCTCCCTCAATGTTGTCTACATTCCCTTTATACCTAAGGCTTTCTTCCGTGAATATTGTAACTGTCATTAGATGTTAGCCAGTACCAATTACAGGACCACCTTATTACTAACACTGTCCAGTACCCATGAATAGACCTGTCTTTCAGGTCCTTCCGGACATCAACCAGGAAGGCCTGCACTTCTTCTTTCGTCCAGTTGTGTATGCGAGTAAAAGCGGCCATGGTGAAGCCCTCAACACCAGAAGACATATTCTCGTGGTTCCACATGCCCAATTCCTTATACTTGGGATCCCTAGCCCATGCGTTCGAGGGCCATTTGTCGCTCTGGATTGCAACATCAACGAATCCGACCTCTCTCATCATCTCTGCGAGCGGTTCGATGTGCTGGTAGGGTCTTCCAAACTTGATGGATGCATCATAAATCAGGTCGACACATCTAGAGACAGCATGTTCCGGCTTCAGGGTACCGTCGTCGGACTTGACGAACACATCGTACTCCTGCAGCTCGAGAAAACCGCCCGAATTGAGATTGCTGCGAACGGATGAGTCAACAACCAAACTTCACTTTCGTTTGCCCTGTTCTCGAAAAGGGTTCTTACTCAAAGCACTTCTTGATGTAGACCTTCCAATCAGTGATTGAGGAGTTCATCGCCCGTGTGTGGATGTAATCGAACGGCTGCGAATAGACCCAAGGCTCCTCTAGGTCATCAATCTCGAACCTGACATTAGGAGGGATGCTTGAAGGTGTCAGTGATTCGGACCCAGAGGCAAACGTGGTCCCCGGTATGGTTGTTAATTGAACTTGGCATTTGTATCGAGTACTTACAACTGTGGCATGGAAGGAGAAAGATCGATGCCGAGGACCTAGTGTTGTCGTTAGCTTTGCACCATGAGAGTCACTTATGAGTATTTAATACTTCAGCCTCAGGGTGCTCCTCTCCAAAGTCGACTGCCCAGATTCCAGTGCCAGTACCGACATCAAGGGCCCTGTTCACCTTTGAGTCGGGGGCGTTCGGCGGTGCGAGACCCAGCTTGTTATCCAAGGTCAGAAGGAAAAGGTTGTGTTGCAAGTCTGGCTTGCCTGTCAGCTGAGTTCAGGCCAGTTGAAACAGAAGGACTCACCCAGTCTGTCAGATTCTGATGCGTCATTGGGAATATGGTATTCTGCATCATCGACGTCAGGTGTGCTCTTATTGCCGATGTTCCATTGGGTCAAGACTCACGGCCATCTTTGTACTTGTGGTACGTTCGACCATTTTCGATTCGATAATCAAGAATGGAGGAGGTGATACTCGTGCTTGATGAAGCGATGCTCTGTTATTGATCATTAGCTTGACCATGATGTATAGGATATGGACACCGAGACTCGAACTCACCTCCCTCAGCTCCGACGCATTGTCATCGGGGGCCTAATTCGTGTCAACAATTGGAAATGAGATCCTGTGTCTTTCACTGTACATCTTGTGGGATGATATGTCCCGGGCCTTTGACGGTGGCCAGGTTCGTGGCAGCAGGGGCTGCGCTTGTGGTGTTGCTGGACATGGTCGGAAACGGAACAAGAACAAAGGCGTCGAACGTTGAGGTGAGGTCTTTCACCCTGAACAAAATGGCAATGTTCCCTTAAGAATTTCTTCGGTTTAAGGATGAGGAGATCACAATAGTGATACGATTAGCACGTGTCCTCAAGAGGCCTGATTGATTTCCCTTTACCCCTCTCCTTGGCTGGAGACAAGTATGCATGTTGGCGGCGAAGATACTATTCACGGCGTATGCAAGGTTCGTAAACATGGAACCAACGCACGTACCCTGGACGCATTGGTTAGGTAGAGTACGACGTGGAGCTTGTACGGTGCCATGATGCAGGGTATAGTTATAGTTATGCAGTACACAGTTGTTTGTGAGTGCGTTGGTAATTCCATCACTTTTCATGATACGAAAATAACTCCTCACGACAAAAGCAGAAGATAGCACTGTGATTTGATGTTCATGGCAATATGCAGATTGGGCTTCACCGTAGGACCCACGATCCCGCAAGCTGCAACAATTGGGTGATTTTACAGAGTAGTTGAGTTTGAGAGGTGCTCAAGATGATAGGCACGGCCGGTTTCAGTCCAGCAGGGTCGCCTTTAGGAAGCGGAGTATCCGAACGGGTGCATCTTCTTAGGGTTACTGTTTCCGAGATTGAGACAAAGTCAAATCTTCATTTGGTACTATCACCGTCATCAACGGCCTCGTTAGGACTGATAATCTCAGACTGATTCCACTTTGTCTCCCTCAGGCTTTCTTCCAAACACAGAGTAGCTAGCTCACGTTGTTAGCTTCGAGGCGGGATAACAGCAATGCCTGAGAGAGAAAGACGACTTACATTGGCCAGTAGGCATGAATATGCCGATCTCTCAAATCTTTTCGCACGTCAATGAGAAACAGGTGGACCTCCTCCTGAGTCCAATGGTGTGCCCTGGTGAGAGGGGCCATGGTAAAAGCCTCGAAGCCGTTGCAGAAATTTTCGTTATTCCAGATTCCCAATTCCTTGTATTTGGGATCCTTGGGCCAGGAGTTTGAAGGCCACTTGAAGACATGCATCTCCACGTCTACAAAACCGACCTCTTCCATCACTCGCACCAAGGGTGGAGTCTCCTGGTAAGGGCGTCCCATCATGACTGAGGCGTCGTACATGAGGTTTAGGCACATTACTAGGGCACTGTCTGGCTTGAGGGTCTTGTCATCAGACTTCGGGAAGAGGTCCGGTTCCTGGATCTCGAAATATCCGCCGGGAGTCTAGTGTCTAAGCGTGCAAGAATGTTAACTTAGGGTTCAGGCGGAGGGAAAAGCCTCGTGGTCACGGTGGGGCATTTGGAGGCGAGCATACTTGAAGGCTTGCTTGAGGAAAAGTTTCCAATCATTGATTGACGAGTTCATCATGCGACTGTGGATGTAATCGAAAGGTTCACTATAGGTCCATTCTTCTTCCAGGTCGTCGATCCCGAATTTGACGTTTGGTGGAATGCTGGTCACGGAAAGGACTTTTAGCTCTGGGGGCTGTTCTCAGACATCTTGTTGGAGTACAAAGTTAAGACTCACAATTCGGGCATTGATGGCGAGAGATCGATACCAAGCACCTCAGAGTCTTCGTGATCTTCGCCATAGTCGATAGCCCAAATGCCAGTCCCCGTGCCAATATCGAACACCCTTTTTGTCTTCGAATCTTTGGCATTTGGCGGTGCAAGGCCCAGGGCGTTGTCAAATGTCAATAAGAATAGATTGTGTTGGAGATCTAGTTCAAATGTTAGTTTTAGTAAAATTTCCATCGCCCACCCATGAGCGGCAACATACCCAATCGGTCTTGTTCTCGCTCATCATTAGGAAAGCTGTATTCTTTTGGACTTCAGTATCCGCCGACGAGAAAAGCCAGATCCAATCAAAACTCACTGCCATCCTTATACTTGTGGTAAGTTCGACCGTTCTCGAGTCTGTAGTCAAGAATTGAGCTCGAGACGCTTGTGCTCGAAGAAGTAATGCTCTGAATGTTCGTGTCAACTTCCTCTCTCGATGCAAGAGCACATTCGCGTGTGGTGACTCGGAAGATCATCTACTCACCTCTCCAAGTTCCGATGAACTGTCATCTGCGACCTAAGGCTTTTAGCTTTGTTCCCAGTTGGAGGTATCCAGCATACCTCATCCGCGACTAGCTCAACCGCGTCGTTAGCTTGGACACTGGGCGCGATATTCAGTGCGCTTGGCACAGCAGAAGAGTCGGTCGCAAGCATTGTTGCGGAAGACACTAGAGAGGCGTTGAGTAAAGCCGGGCTAGCTTTTCCAGGAGTAAGGTTTTTGCAGTTGATGTAAAAAATCAGAAATCTAAAGGGCCAGTACAGGTGATTTAATGCCATCCAAAGTACGGATACAGGAAATTGTATGCTTGCCACTGCCCCTCTGCTTGGCCGGATTCAATTATGCGGGATCCCGGCGAACATACTCTTTTCGGCGAGGAGACATTTGCGAAAAAGGAAGCAACGCGCGTAACACAGCGAGCCTCCCAGAAAGAATGGAGCTCGTACGATAACTTCATGCAGTTGGTTGTGATGTCTGATGCATGGTATGGTTGTTCGTGCATGGAAGACATGTCGTTGGATCACATCACGGGGACATTTCCGACAATTTCCAGCTGCAGCAGATGTTTGCTTCGTGGTGCTACCCAAAAATTTGACACATATGGATGATACGTCGCGGCTCACTTGGGTGTGGCTTGGTGAGGCTGAGAGGAGGTGTCATTGCAGGAGATTCGGGAGGGTCCCTTCGATGGTTCATCCATACTCGGACACCCAGAGTTGGGACGATCGGGCTTCATTAGTAGGTGATAGCGCAAGCAAGTT